GCTGAAGATTCCGAGACTGTTCAAGATAAAAGCACCCTTGCTTCATGTGAACCTCAGAGTAAGCCACACCCCCAGAGCAGACTGTCTCTGTTCAGTGGCATGGAGCTGGTGACCAAAGGAAAGCCGCTGTGTAACAGTGAAACATCACATGAAGAGGTGGAGGACAAAATAGGCGACAGGATAAAGGAGATGGACGCTGTGCATAAGTCCGATTGTTCAGTGAACTCATCTATCACCAGTAAAACCAGTGAGGATGTTCCCTCAGTTTGCAGTTCCTCTGCATCTAATTGCAGCCAGTCAGTATCAGCTTTCTCCTTTCTCAACTTTTGATTGCAGGCAACCGTTTAGAGCTGTTCTACTTTAAACCAATGATGTCATCATGCGTTGATCCTTTTGGAAACCTGTTTAATGTTCCAAACCAAGATCCAACCAGTTAAGTTGTAAGTGGATAGCAGATTCTAATTCAGTTTCTTTTCTTATCTGTGTGCCTCTTCAGAAACTGTTTTTAAACAGCAAATTGGGCCAAGAGTGAGATTTGGGACTCATAAATAGAGCCTGCAGATCATGTCCATCTATGGATGGTTTGTCTTCTTAAAGACAGGTCTTTGTCTGCTGCAGTGTATTTTAAAAGTATTTAATGACTGAAGTTGTCTTGGATAAGAGGTCTTTACTCTGCCTTACAAAGTTACAGGACAATAACTGCAGAAAACATGAAATGAGAGATCTTTGTAACATTTACTTTAGAAAACTTAAGCTGTTTTTCCACCTCCGTATCTTTAATCCAAGACTCTTGTGCAGCTGTGCATGACATTACAGTTCAAAATCACATTTATTTATGTCATACTGGGCCTCAGTGCAGCTCATCAGTTCATCCTCACCGTCAGAAACGAGCTGTCTTTTACTCTTCTGTGCTCATGGCCAGATCTGTGTACCTGAGGTGGTCTCATTAGGGGTATCTGCTCTCACTGATGTCATACAGAGACGGGTAGGAAAAAAATGTTTCGATCAATCTGAAGCCTGAGCTTTTAGTTTACAAGAATTACTTGAGCAAACACTGACCTCATTATTTGAAACTTCCATCTGTTTAAGCAAATAAAAAACATAATGGGTCCCCTTTCTACATAGTGCAAGGAAAGCACAGCCTTGACATGTGTTATGAGGGGGAAAAAGAACTAATGAATAAATACTTCTTTAAAAAAAAAAATCATGGTTTATGAAAAGGCTTATTCAATATCTGGAAGGCTGATCAAATAAAAGTCCAAACCAAAGTCTAAGCGAGGCTAGTCTTCAGCAGCACCAGTTTTAGTTCCTGCATCATTTGCAAACAAAAATGCTCCAACCTGCTACTTTTCCATTTTCCCTAAAAATGACACTTCTGTGAAATCATAATGTTTAAATAGTAAAATGACAGATGTAGGCCTAAATTTAAATCTAATAAAGTACGCAGTTACTGTGTTTTGGCTTTGCGGGGCACACTGGTGGTTGCTTTTTCTCAGGATTTCTTTTATGTAACAACTTCCACCTCTGCAGCACGGCCTGAACCTCTGAGGGGGAGAACCTCTGTTTGAAATTTGCACTACAGTCGCTTTTCTTATGAACTCAAATCAAAAGAGAGTTGTCTTCCATTATTTTTGGTACTAAGCTATTAAGTCATTGTAAATGTTCCAAGTGTAAATTTAGAAATTTATTTATTATGTCTGCTCTGTTGACTAAAATGAGACTTGTAGAGTGCATGATTTAAAAAAAAAAAAACTTGGGGGAATTAATATTTTTGGGTTATTGTGTGTGCATAACTAATGTCTCGACTGTTTGATCATATGTAAGCAGTCATAAAGGATTTCTCATTTCAGCAAAGGTTTGCCTTCATTGTTTCAGTTACATATTTATTGCAGTGGAATGTAGTTCAAACTACACGCCTAAATCGTAATTCAGCGTAATTGTACTATAATGAACGCCACTGATGTGTTTCAGTTCAGTGAACACAAGCCAAGCTGTTCAACATGCAGGACAATAAAGCATGCTGTATTTTTGTCACAGCACTAACCACTACGCAGTCTTGATGTGATTTGTTTTGTTTTTTTTATCCGACATGTTTGCACACATCACTTTTGGCAACACTTTATTTCAAATGATTCAGGGAAATTACATATGAATCACTTTTACATTTCATTTTATTCCAAACACAGTGTACTGGTCATATTAAACCACCCATAAACAAGTATGGCTGACCGGCTTATGACACACAGATACACAATGTGGAAAATGTGGAACAAGTAAACACTGGGTTCTAAATTATTTTAAAGAGTCTGTTTTTGTTAGAAGCGCTGTGCCGAGCGGAGTGCTGCCTGACCTGCACTTTCCACAGTGCCTTCTTAAGGACCTATAATTAGCCAGGGTTTAATCTAAGGTTGGATTTCAGCCAAAAAGTCTATGAGGATCTCTGTTCCATCCTCTTAAACCCACTGACCAACCACACCTAGACATTTTAGATTCATTTAGCCAGTGACTGCAAAAAGTAGAATGCTCTAACTTTATAGCTTTGGTTAGAGAAAACAAAGCCTAAAATATTCTTTAATGGATTGTATTGATCGTGCTCCTTAGGAGTGAATCCATTGGCCTTCTCCATATGGGATCACAATAACTCCCACTTCTCTGATGGAAACAAGCGACCGACTGTCCCAGTCAAGAGTAAACAGAAAGACTTCCAGAGTAAAGTGCTTAGCTTTATTTAGTTCTGCAAGCACTTTGGATCATCATCATCATCACACTTTTCTTGTGATTAGCACCAATGAAAATGTCCACGCATCGACGCACGCATGTAAAGAGAAGGAGACCTCTTCATAAAGTGCACGGGGTGCATGCATACACACACACATACACACAAATCCACACGTACACATCGATACTGCACAGAAAACCACAGTGGCTGGGCCATGGAAAGGCGGATGTGCTTATGATCTTGACAAATGGTACATGTCGAGGTGGGGATGAGCCCAGGATCCATAAACCTCCCCAGTGGGGTTGCAGCTGTATGCTGTTTTCATAATATGTCGTGTGCGATGGTACGACAACTGAAAGTTATCATGCCACATACATTTCAATCAATAAAAAAGTTGTTATTAATAATAATAATGATAAGAACTTTGTAATACCATAATATTTTCAGAGACAGTGAAAATCTCATACTGTTGCAACCCTATTCCCTACACATCATCGCCTTACACCTGACCCCATGGTGTTATTGAGGCTTTCTGGGAGGCACCATCATGCCAGCAGTGTTGACACTGATGGGTGAGGGACAAAATGGTCAGGAGGCAAGGTCGGGCGAGGGCCGGAGGTCACGGTCATGTCGACCCTGGTCGTCCTCTGGTCTGCAGACTGCTGAAGTGCGCCTCCCTCAGGACTCTGTTGATGTAGTCATATGAGACACTTCTTCCGTCACCATGGAAACCGTGCGGCAAGGAGCTGGCAGAGACTTCGGGCTTTGGGCTGACGGGGTCCTGGGTCCTGCAGCTGTTTTGGCTGTGTATGCATGGTCTGGTGGTGGCCACTATTGCTCTCTCTGGACTGCTGATCCCATTGCTGCTGTCACTGCTGGAAGACTGCAAACACAGAACAGAGTTGGAGTCTGAACAGCAGCTTCACAGATGGATGCACAGCCTGTGAATAAAGACGGTCTAAGCTCTTTCTGACAGCGGCGCACTGTATGTGATCCCAAGACACGTGCTCTATCTGCAAAAATGCAGCAAGATTTACATTATAAGGTAAAAGACGTCAACTTTTATAGACAATCAGGAGCAAATCCACAATCTATGTATGTGTCTCACCTCTGAGTCCAAATCTGATACAAGCAACGAGGGACCCCCTCCTGACCTCTTGGCCTGAGGCCTCAGCTGTTGGTCTTCCTCGCTGTCGCAGCTATGGTGCCTTTTCCTGTACAAAACAGCGATGCAAGGAACAGAGAGATTGTGTGACAGAAATGATGCAGGGAGGGGGAGACAGATTGGGCGGAGGAAGCCAAGAGTATCAGAAAGAGAGTACATGACGAGGAACCAAAAATAGCAACACAGGCTGAAGCAGTTATATGAACAGGCATGTGGCACTGGTACTATGAGACCATACAGACTTACACAGCTTTACTGGGGTCTGTATGAAGCTATATTATATGACTAGAACTTGGATGCCTGAAAAATGTGACTTAGTCATAACATTGAATTACAATGACATAATAACTCAGTGTATTTTTCCATATGGTGATGATCCTATAATAAATAATTGTGAAATATTGTGAAAATGTATGTTCTCGTCTTTACCTGCTGTCAGTCAGCATTTCTCCAGTCTTATCGGATGCTTATTTTTGGCAAACAGAAAGGTTGACACTCCTTGTCAGCCGGGTTAAGATGTCTTATTTAAATGCTTTGGCAATGCTGCTCTCTCTCATCTCACTGGGAAGTCCAGGGTGTGTAAAACGAGCTATCTTCAGCCGGCTGAAGAAGCACCGGTAGCCACAGGAAAGCAAAAAATCTCCGCTCTGCCAGCGTCTCGGCGGGGCCACAAATTTAGCCGAACGAATAAAAGCTAACAAGCAAGTTGCTAGGTATTCTCGTTTACGCTGTGAAATCTCGAGGAGCCCCGGTCATGACAGCAAAGAAGCAAGCTAGCCCGCTAGCTGCTACCTGCTACCGTTTGAGTAGCCACTTATCTAGCTAACTTTAGCTGCACTAACCGAAAGTTCTTCCGCTTTCGTATGACGTCTACTTGCCAATAAGCGTGTTGAATTGTTCTCTTTAGTTTGCAACAGTCCGCTACGAGAAACCAGACCGGCAAGTTTACGATAAATCTGATTTTAATGTCTGCACTACAATACGTGATACTCCGAAGTCTTTTGGAAGACAATCGCGACTGCGAGCTTTCTTTTTTCTTTAACCCCGCCCCTCTGTTTACATGACGTAAATATAGCTTCCGGTGTGAACAAATAGAAGTGTCGGTTAAGGTATTTTCTCATTATTGTATCCTTCCCTATTGACCCATTTGCCTTATTTGTACTTTTAAGTGTTTTAAGTGTTTTTTTATTGTGTGTCGAACAAAAGTGCAAAAACGCGTTTGCTAACTATTCTTTAGAAAATATCATATAGCATTAAGCTAGCTTGTGAGTTTATATTTACTGTAATGTAATGTAGCTGCTATTAATGTGTGATAATGGTTTTCTCTTCTTCCAGTCTCCGCTATTTAGCTGCTGACAGAACTGGACTGACCTGATATAATTAGCCTACAATTAGTGCATAAGTATTTAGCTTTTATATTGAAGGGGTTTGACAAAAGAGTTAGAATAACTGTTCAGGAAGTACAGCCATTTTACACACAGTACCTCCCTTCAGAGAATCCAAAGTAGTCGGACCGTAATTGTAATTGTTTTGGCCAGGTGCAGTCACTCCCTTTTAATTTTAGTTTAGCTTACTTTGATCTCTTGGTGGCTTAATGTTTATCACAAAACACTAGAGTGGATCAGTCCTCCTATCTAACTCTCGGCAAGAAAGCAAAAACATTTACAAATACATTTCTCAAAATGTCAAACTTTTCCTTGCCACATGCATCCAAAGAGAGCAAGACATCCATGTAAAAGGAGTAAAAAGAATCAATTTATGTGATGGGGGGATAAAAGATGGGAAAAAACATTGTCTTGTCTGCAGGGTAATTCAAGTTAATGCAATGCATTTCTCCTGCAGATGAAGGTGATCCAGTACACTCCAGAGAAACTCCATACAGCTTTGGTCTCCAATTCTCAGTATTTAACTAAGGTTTATAGTAAGTACACAAAAGAAGAAAAGCGCCTTCTGGAGGAAGGATTCCACGCTGGGCAGCCGGGTTCCCTTTTCCAACTCCTCACCGTGCACTCTGACTCTGACTGGATCCTCGCTCACCCCGAGGAGCCCGAAGACTTTGAGGCCTTTTACAGAAAGCCTTATCGCAAGACCCCAAATGAAAGCCAGAGTACTATTTATATTCAAACCATAGGTGTGCATATCTGCATATCATGTACTCAGAATCTCTATTTCTCTCAGTTCTAGCGGAGTATGTGTGGGGAGTTGTGAAATGTTTCTTACAGGATTCAGTAGCTTTCAGTTGATGCCCTTAGCAGTGGACATAGAGAGCATGAGAAGAAAAAATTAGAAAGAAAAAACTATAGTCAGTTAATTTTGGGCATTACAAATGGGTAAAGTATGTCTAGTGTGTGCAACAAAAGGGTGTGGTCTCCAAATTCAGCATGCCACTTGGTTGCTTAGGCTTAATTCTGCACTTTGTTTGTTGTAGGTTCTTTTGGAGAAGTTGCTGCCCAGACAGACCAGTATATGGAGTGGCTGCGAGATTACTGCCAAGCCTTCTTCTACGGGCTTTCTGTGAAGTTGCTTCCAGCAGTTGCAGTGTCTGAAACAAAGTGCTCTTTCAGGGTCAACAGTAACTCTTACAACCTTCAAATCCTTACTGGTAATGACTTAAAAATAAAAACAAAAAACGTACATTTAACATTTTTCCATATCAGTTAGTGACTTTGGACATTTTCCTTGCAGTGTCAATCTGGGTTGGTGCAATTTTCTTTGTCAGTACTGTTTTTCTCTTTAACTAAAGGCGATCTGCTACAATTTCTGAAGAAGAGGAAACCAAAAGATGCTTTTTGTATTGTTGGAATCACAATGATTGACCTCTACCCCAAAGATTCATGGAACTTTGTCTTTGGACAAGCTTCTCTGACAGAGGGTGAGGTTTCTAAAAGCAAAGCACTAGGTTATTCAAACACAAATCCGTCTTGATGCAATTTGTTCCATGAGCATTGGGGAGGAGATGCTTAGTTTTTTTGTGTGTGATGCAATGTGACTGAGTAGCCACTAGATAGTGCTAAAGTGAAATACATTAGAGGGGAGATAGCTTCCTGTTTCCTTTCCTCAAATTTTTCCTAAATGTGTACAGGAATGGGCGTTTTCAGTTTTGCCAGATATGATGACAACTTCTATAAGAGAAGTTATGCTGGAAGGCTGAAGAAGCATCTTCAGCCAAGGCAGAAGGATTATTCTGTGTTTGACGGCTATTACACTCCACCGATCACTAGCTCTCTGCTGCTTCGATCCTGCAAGGTTACTAAGAAACATCTCAGTTTACTTAATGTATTTAGTTATTGTTGGTTTGCCAGTGGTCATGATCTGCCCACTTGTATCAACATGTCTTATCAAAGCACTTATTTCCATAGACCCTTGTAAACCTTCACTCTTGTGTCTGTTTTTAGTCTTCATTGTAACTTTAGTGTTTCTGCTCCAGACAATGACTCACGAGATCGGCCACATGTTTGGAATCTCACATTGCCAGTGGTTGAGCTGTGTCATGCAAGGCTCCAACCACCTCGATGAGTCTGATCGAAGGCCCTTGGACTTTTGTCCCATCTGCCTTCGCAAACTGCAGTTCGCAATCGGCTTCAATATAGCTGAAAGATACAAGGTAATGACACATTGATTGCTGAAGACAAGGAGATAATTACAATATTAATCCCTTTACTCTCTTTACTATTTGGTTATTGAATAAATACAGCACCAGCAAGACATTAATTGGAGTATTTTAACAAAGATATAGTCTTTGTATACTCTGTGCTGGAATAGTGAGAGTTCATCTGAGTACTTATTTGATGTGGGGTCATGGGTTAAAAATATTGATTATTTCAGATTTCTAGCTAAATCTATGCGCTGCACTGTGTCCTCAGCCTACCTGACATGCTTGAGTTCACAGTGGGCCTTTAAATCAGACTGAATTTTGACCCCAATGCGCTGAGCAAGTAGATAGTAAAAAACATATTTCACACAGGCTGCTTCACAGTGCCGGCTTGATTTTTAACTTGGCGTTTTTTTTCTCGTACTTTATTTTGTTTTCCACGTTTTGTGGAAATGTCATCACACTGCACTTATTTGTTGTTTATGAAGCATCTGGTAACAGTCACTGTCAAAGCAAGAATGCAAGAATCTCCCACACAGTATTGAAAATGCATATAAAAATAAAAAATGGAAAGATACACAGAAATACATCAAATAAAAATCATAAAAAATAAATAATATTTATTTTTAATATTTATAATATTTTTATAATATTTATATTTTGAATAATATAAAATAATATAATAAACATCAGTTAACCCTTTTTTTTCTTTTTTTTTTACTGTTTATCAGGCCTTACTTCACTGGATGGACGAGGATCAGACTCAAACATCAGTGAAGGCATCAGCCAGTCATACCACACCTCACTTTACAAAACCCACCGAAGCCTTTAATGCATCCAAACTTTGGGTCTGCAGGTGTTTGGAAATACTGGAAAAGGATCAATAATAGTTCTTTTTTTACTCTATTTGAGCACTTTATAAATTGCATTCATCCACTCAGTCATACAAGCACTTTTTACAATCCCAAAAATGTTTATTCTTCAGGTCTAACACTACTGGAGTAATAGAAAGCCGTACCTTCTCTGTCATTTGGTGTTTTGATGAAGGTACTTGAGAGTGCTTTCTTACACCCTCCATCCAATTTTTTTCTGTTCTTAACATTTGTGTTGCTGTTTGATTATCAAAGTAGATTTTATGTATCAAAAGTCTAAGTATTGGCTAGCCACTGTAAACAGTCTACTGAACTGTGCTGATTAAAGCCCAAAACCATATGTAATGGGCATCTTGCGTGGTTGAGTGGGTCATCTACTGATCAGAAGGTCAGTGGTTTATTTTTCAGCTCCTTCAATCTGAAAAATATTGCCCCCAGTGCAATGTGATGCTTAGAAAGCACTTAAAATCATAGACTAAAACACTAAACAACTCTATTTTACTTAATGACGTGATGGTAGCACTTTGGAAACCTGTGTTTGCACAATGTAAATTCAATTAAACATGTAGTATGTATATAAGATTTATCATATAATGTTAGCATTTATAGGTTTACAGGTTTTGGAAGACTAAGCCAGCAAATTTCTTTTCTGTCAGTGTATCTGTGCATTCTGGGATTAATTTGCATGTTTTCAAATAAATGTTGTGTTCAGTGAATGAACATGTTGTCAGTTTGTCTGCTGGGTTTTAGAGAATAAACCACATTCACCTGTCTGTTTCACAGTGTTGCTTTATTACGAACAAACACGTTTTTGATACAAAAATTGTTTGCGGGTTGACATCCCGTATTAAATAGCAGTGCACCGTTAACTAAGTGACAGTTTGATTTGATTGCAAGTAAAACACATATAATCAAATTGTCCTGAGCTTCAGGTATTTCCCATAACAAGTGTAACAAAGATCTGTGCAACTGATTGTTCTTGCTGCAACATTAGCATCACATTTTGTCTGGCTATTGTTATTGAACTGATCACTGAGGTAATTATTGAGCGTCAGTGTTAAAGTCTCCTGTCAAACTAAGACACCTCCCTTAACGCTTAATCACTCTGAGTGTACCCTTTGTCACTGCCATCCATTAAGTGCAAGACTAAATGAAGCTTCTTCAAAGATAATTTAAAGGTACTGACACTGTTAAAAACACTGTTTGGTATATCAGGTAATTAAGGCACAATTATTACTTAGATACTGTGGTCTAAAAATTTTTGAGATTGCTCTCAGAAACCAGACCTACAAAGGCAGATTTTAAGCACTTAGTAAGCGTCTTTCTCTTCAGTGTATTCATGCTGTTACAGTTTATCAGCATTAGCCTTTAACTACCGTTCTATGGCTTGAACCCTTTATTACTCTCATTTTACATCAGCTTAAAAGGTAAAACACCCTCTACATCACTTAGTGTCAAAGTCAGAGAAATCATTTGGATCTCTAGTTCTCCTCAGTTTGCTCTTCACTCTCCTCCTTGTGGGCTGCATTGCTTTCAGAGCGTCTTCTCCTCATACAGGAAAATCCTCTCTTAGCAGGCTTCACCAAACCCAGGAACAAAGCACTCAGAGCCATGCCAGCTGCACAAGAGTAGAAGGCTGATCCATAGTTATGGGTCATGTCCACCAGCATGCCTGAGGAGCAAAGGAGAATAGAGGTAGAAGTAAGAACTAAAAAGCCAGCTTGTCAAAAGGTCTATGTACTCATCTTAAACAAAGGCTGGAAGCAATTGCATTGTGTCTTGTCATGTTCTGCAGGGACTGAATCAAATATCCTGATCTAGATGATCCAGCCAAACTTTATACTTTTGGTTTGTGTGTATTTTGCAAGATTATGAGTTGTAACTACAAGTGTAAGATTCCCATAAATCCCATAAATGAACATGTGTGTTTTTCACTACTAAAATATATATTGTTTTAAGATATAGTATCATTTGTAGTAAAGTTGATCCTGGAGGTTATGTCCAGTAAATATGTCATTCCTCAGTACCTCCAAGTGGTGGTCCTGCCAGCCCAGCAAAGCTCTGGATGAAAACATAGACGCCAGCAGCTGAAGTCATCCTCTCTATGCCCACCACATCATCCTCAGCCAGCAGAGGAATGTGGGTGCACACCACAGTTCCCAGGAAGAACCCGTAGAGAGCACAGCACACAGCTAGGCCGTAAAACTCTGTGACCAAAGTAAATCCCACCAGCACCACAGTCAGTGTAATCACACAGGCTAAAAGCACCAAAAGCTTCTTCTTCCTAAACTGCCTCCGTGTGAGGATCCATCCAATAGAGAATCGGCCTAAGATTTCAGCCACGGCTATGGTGGAGAGCATGTAAGTCGCGTGGTCCTTTTCGACTCCTCGACTCTCACTCAGCTGGATGATGTAGAGCTGTGGAGCGAAAAAGCCCAGAGTGGCAAACAGTCCAAAGAGAGAATAGAAAATGAAGCTGCACTCTTTGAGGATGGAGAAGTCCAAGAGTTTGGAATTGTTTTCAGATAACTTTTTGTCAGCTGCATTGTTTAGTTCCTCTTTCATCGCTTGTTTTTCTGCATCTCTGCTTGTTTTTTCCTCTTTTTCAGATGTTTTTATTTCTCCCTTGCTTTCTTCCAGCTGTTCCCGTTCAATCTCCACCTTTGCTTCTTTGTGAGGTAAAGATGTCTCCTGTTGCTTGCCGCTGTCAGTGTCACTTAGAGACTGAACACCAGAGTCTGCAGTGCTCACAGAGCCTGTAGTTAGCTCGTTAGTCAAACTGCAGAAGGTATTTTGATCAGAGAATGCCTTGTTTGTCACAGAGACCCCTGAAGTTGTGCCCTCTGTACAGTCATTATGTTTGCTCAGATCTTTTAAGGTTAAGGTGTCAGCCTCTGGTTTCAGCGTCTCATTGGGTTTAATAATTATCGGCCGAAGCAATGCACCACAGATGATGATGACGCTTTGCAAAGCTCCTAATACTGCCATGGTATTTCTCCAGCCAATATGGTCCCTTAATGCTGCAAAGGCTAAGAGGGAAGAAGAGGCATTCCATGAGTGTCCACAAACAAATCTGCATGAGTATTAAGTATGTAATGTTCAAGATCTGGCTTATGAAATGAAAATGTGATGTTGAAACTGTTGCAAACTGTAATCTTTTCTTGATATTATTTGGGAATATTAATCATGTTTTTTCTAACCCCTGTCACTCACACTTGTCTTTAAAGCGTCTTTATAAAAAGCATCCCACCTGGTGCCAAAGCAAACATTGACAGGGACTCTCCAGTAGAAGCGACAGCAGTGGCCAGAGATCGCCGATGGTTGAAATACTGAGAAAGGATGGTCACCGTGGGGAGGAAGGTCAGACAGTAACCCATGCCTGAACAGTTGAATAAATATGTACAAGAAATTCAAAGAATAACAGCATTGTGTGCAAAGTTTTTTGAAGTGGAAAAGTAGTGAAAAAGTGACTAAATGAATACCTGCAACTAATCCGTAGGTGATGTAGATTTGGTTTATGGAGCTGGTAAAGATGGTGGCGATGGTGCCAGAAGTAATAAGCAGTCCTCCAGTCATGACAACAAGTTGAAAGCCAAAGCGGTTGGTCATCATGGAAGCAAAAGGTGCTAAGTGGTACAGCGATTCTCATTATTTCAATGTTATTTTTGTACGCATGTAATGTTAAGTTTTTTAAAGCTGCAGCCACATAGCAACAACACATGTGCTTACCATTGAATGCCATGACAAACACACTAATGGAAACAATCCAGGAGACTCGACTGTTGGTCTCTCCAAACTCATCTATCAAGTTCTGGAGGAAGATGCCAAAGCTTTTGATGGTGCCATAGGTGAACACCTCCACCAAGAAAAATGCCACAGCCACCACCCATCCCCAGCCACCGTCGGGGACCTCCGAGTACACATTGGGCCCCAAGAAACCACTCAATCCCATGCCCTGGAAAGAAAAACAGCGGATTAGCATAACTGCAAAGTAATCAATTAAAAAAAAGTAATAATAATAATAAATCAAATGTGCGTACTTTGAATGGATGATCGAATTAAGACAAAAACACAAAGTAGGGTGGCAACAAATGCTGGACTGTTACTGTAGAGGCGCTCTGACGCGTCAACACGAGCGGAACGAGAATGCGCCCATAGCCGCAGGACACTGGCCGGGACTCGCTGTAAGTAATTACAGATCAAACCCACAATTCCGTTTCGCTCACACAAACCGGCAGGAATACTTTAATGACGCATTCGGGGAAAATTCATCTTAAACTGGAAATTGCTCTCGTTCGGCAGCCTGAGCGGTAAATGTAAGGAGAAGCGAGTTGCCTTTTTTTTTCTTCTAGCAATAAACGATCCAGCATCAGGGGGCGCACGCGCTGCTGTGGTGCTGTAGGTACCTGCCGCACAAAAGCCAGCTTCAGCTCTGTGAGGACTGAGTCACAGCTTTTTGAAGTGTTCCTCTTCTGATCACAGACAGTCTGAGTAAGAGGTGGTAAGCCTGATCCTTGTCAAATTACTCAAATCAGCTGACTTGATAACTGGCTGGTGTTTCCAGTAGAAGTTCATATAGTGTTACACCCTCTTTTATATCGGTCTTTCTTTAGCTGCTTGCCTTTTAAATAAAGTCTCTCTGTACATTCTTACGGACATCTGTTTAATGTACAAACACTGGCAGTGCTGCAACAAAAGATGGTCAGGAGGGGGAAAGGCAACAGCCGCTGAAGTTCAGTCTCTCCATTCTCCCTGATCAATTATTAATGAAGCTGAGCAAATATGTTTTTATTTTTGTAAGAACGGGAGAAAAAAGTGAAGCAACAATGACAGATTAAATCCTAAATCCTTAAATGTACCACCAGGTGATATAGAAATACAGCTCCTTTGTGAAATTATGTGCAGGAATTATACATTTTCCATGCATCTGAGTATTTTTTATGGGATTCCCAGGTCTCCCAACCTACCTGTGTTTGGATTTATAATCTCCAGCGTGGTTTGTTTGACCTCATAACTCTCCAGAGCTGCAAACCTGTTGTGTAAGTATCCCCCTCCTACCAGATTTTGTAAAATTTCTGAACCTAGCCTTCATAAGCTGTGCTGGTATGTTAAGCATAGTGTAAATCCTGTTTTTGATATACAGGCTTCTCATATTACATGTCATATATTGTTGAAAAACAAACAAACAAACAAACAACTATGGCATTCTGTACACCTGCTGTAAATTTTCAGTTAAATGGTAAATGGCCAGTTACACTCAAAAAAGTCAACTAAGGCAGTTGTTTGATTAATTCAATAGACATTTGTCTATTTAACATGAACATATTGAGTTTAGGTTTTTAAATCATTATCAGTTGTTGGTTTAACATAAAATAACAAAAAGTTTAATGAACTAGATTTGCATTCTTCAGTTCAATCAAATATAATTATTTTAAATCAACAACTCTAAAACCGATGCCTAGTGCGCTCAAACTTCCCAGAAGTGAAGAGGCGGGAAAGCGGAGAAAGTTATATGTGTTCAGTGGACTGCCATTTCCCTCTGCGGAATCTTCCACAATACAGGTAAGTAATAAATAACTCAAAATATCTTAGTCAAACGAAGTTGTTCTGTCCGTTAATTGTTTAACAATGTTTTTAATTCCAAATGTGTAAGTTGTCATTAGACAGCGGGAGTGGAGCAAATACAGTGAAAATCTGGTATTAGACGGTGCCAATCGGTACTGTCTAATACCTGATTTCTAATCCGCTCTGGGTATATTTATACTATTATTAG